GTACGTTCTTGGACCTATTTTTAAGTCACATCTTGTGACTGAGCAGCTGTCAGCTCAGTGGTGGCCTTCCTTAAAGCTCTACTTACTACTGAAGTGGTCTTTCCACAGCCGCTGGTTTTAGGGAAGATACCATTAAAATTTCCTTTGATTTTAAGAGACTTGGGCTTCTCAAGGCAGCCTCCCTCTGCTGGGAAGGGCTCTGCAGGACAGCTGCGATCCCACCTGCAGCCCCAGGTCTCTAAGCTGGTGCACTGACAGCATACCACACAAATACATTGCACTGTAACTTTCTTTCAGACCCAAATCAAGGATTTCCTGTATTTCAGAGATGCAAGCTCAATGCTCTGAAGAAGGTTTTGTTACTTTCCATGAACAAGAGTGTTTCGCTCCCACACCCTGCTTGCATGGGGATGCTGCTGCAGAAATAGCTGCACGCTTGCCACATCTCCTACCCCCTGCCTTCAGAGTATAGAGAATACCAGTGCTTCCTTCAGAACACATACATCTCAACTCAGTGCACACTCAGAAGTGAGTTTAAGGGACAGTTATGAATAAAAAGCCCAATCAGAGCTGGTACAAGCCATTTTCACAGTGCTGCCTCCAGACAAGACATCATGAGGACTGCCAAGTCCCATCCTGTGGGCCAGGGCTGCTGTGTTTGTGGGGTGTGCTGCAGTTCTGGTGGCTGTTCCTTCTCCCTGGTGAGGTAACCTTGGGATTTGAGCCACTTGCAGGGGGGCAGAGAGCCTGACACAAAGGTTGGTTTGTGCTCCATGGAGCAAAGCCCTGCACCTCTGCAGCTGCAGAGCCACCTCAAGATGGGTTACGGTGTTGCCAACCCCCTGGGAAAGGCTGAGATCAGCACATCCTCTGTCTGCACAAGAGGAAGCTCTGGTCACAGCATGGCCTGTGTAAGGACAGGCAGGAAGATGTCCCAGGTGAGAACAAGTAGGAAGATGCCCACCTTCCCTTGCTTGGTTCTGCTTTGAGGCACTGGACCTGCAGGACAGAGGTGGGAGGTGAGGGGATGGTGCATCACCCCCCTGCTGCTGCCTTCTCCGTAAGGGCTTCGCTCCAGCCCCGCAGAACCACAGCTCAGAGCACAAGGAGAGATTTCCACGGCCCAGTTTTGCAATGAGCTCCCTGTGGTTCAGCAAACCTCAGGCGTGAGGTGCCCAGAGAACAGGAACCCAGCAAGTGAGGGCTGCAGGCAGCAGCCAGGCCCTGCAGGAAAACGAACTCGCTATGGTACCAAACATCCAAAAAACCAACGCGGTTTGGGGGTCTGCCCCCACTGCATGTGCCTGCGGGCACAGCACAGCTCTAGAAAACAAACTCTGTCAGTGGAGAAAAAGAAGCAAAGGACAATGTTACCCTCGATAACAGCTCGCTGCCTCCCGTGCCTCTGCTGAGCAAACCACTGTTTCCTGAATTGAGGTGTCAGGCATGAAATATTTCACATGCTGGGGCAACCGTCACCATCTGCCGAGTGACAAACAGAATTTAAGCCTTTCCTGGTATTTGATGCATAAATCAGGGTGCGTCCTTTGTGGCTGTTTGCGATTCCGCCACTGACAGCAGCCCACGGTGCTCAGGGAGGTGGCAGTGGAAATGCTCACCCTGCCAACGTCCCCCTGGCCCAAACTACATTCCAGCTGAGCATTTCTAGAGCATGCCTTGCTGCTGCCCTCTGCTTCATGCTTGCTGCAATCATTAGGATGTAAGGTACACTGAGGATCCAGGATAACCAGTCCTCCCCTTCCCTCCCACTCTGCATCCCACCACCACCACACCTGATCTCCATCGCTCACAGCCCCATGGGTCAGGCAGACCAAGAATTTATTTTTGCCATTACCTTCCAGGCATTTTTCCATCGTCCCACCAAGCCCACAGCCAGCTAATGCAAAGGAGAGACCACCAGCCTTCATGCAGCTCTTCTCCATTCCTCCAACACAGAGCATGTAACCACAACTGAGGCGGCTCTTTGCTCTGCTCTCTTTGAGCATTGATTTACCACCTGTCTCCCATCTCTGTTACCAGCAGCTGACTCCTCCAGCATCCCTTCAGCTGAGCTGAGTTCTTGTAAAGTTTTGCTGGTGCTTCAGTCAGGCAGCAGCTCCTCCTGCTCCCCCACACTCACAGCTCTGCCAGCACAGCTCTCGTGTTTTGCACACACAGCAGAGCTCCCAGCCGGTGCCCTCTACACGCCTTCAGCAGCAGAGCTGAGTCACCATCACTCTATATGTGGCTTTTCTGCCAATTTATTTCATGTCAAAGCCCTACATTTGCTATCTGAAGCAGGGCAAGCCAACAAGAGCAAAGCTCCCAGAACCTCTGCCCACATTTGGGTCTTATTAGTGCTGCAGCCATGCACACAAGTGGCTTCAATTTCTCAAGAATCTTCCTCCATGGAACAATCTAGATGCAGAAAGCCAAAGTAAAAGAGTACCTCTGCCTCTAGGCAGCGTGGGAAGTGCCTGAGAACACACATTATTTCTAGAGTAACCACACCACACCATTCCTCACTTGTTGATGAAGAAAACAGGCGGTGCTGGCCTCCACACTGTTGGCTTCTGTATGTGTAGGCATAAGGAAATAACGGGGAGCAAAAGCTCCATTTTGCCTTGTGCCTGGTGCAGGCACAACTCAGTGCAGGTCCCTGTCCTTTTTGGGCACCCACCAGAGCTGCTCAGACTTTCTATTAGCTCCAAGCAGTGGCGGTCCTCAGCACTGCTGAGCAGCAGCAAGCAGAGCCAAACACAAAGTCTGTCTGTCTGTTGGAGGGGAAGGTGGGATTAAGGCCAAGAATGAGCGCAGCTCGAACAAGAACACACGAACTTCCTTAGATACATTTCTGAGCCAGGCATCAGAAGCTCCAGACCAGCAGGGTGGTTGCAGCCCAAGCTCTGGAGCCCAGCCGTGCTCATCTCTCAAGCTGTGTCCCACTCTGGCATCAGCAGTGCCAGGACTGCTCTCTGCTTCCTCAGCCACTTCCACCTTCAGGTAACTGCGCTGCCGTTTTGGTTTGATTGCAGCATCCCAGAGTGAATAACTGGCAATGAAAGCAGGGCTGTCTGAGCATGGGGCAGCCCCGCTGTGTGCAAAAACGCAGCAGAGCAGCTCTACTTCCTATTTCCTATTCCGCAGAACCAAAAATAATTGCTGCAAAGGTCGCAGGGTCTGGGGCAGCAGCAGGACAGCAGTGGAGCAGTGATGGTGAGAGCCAGCATTGCTCAGCCACTGCGATTGTCTGAGCAGCTTTCTGGTGGCCTGCAATCCTCAGCTTTTGCAGGGAGTCTGAGATACACATTGGTGTTTGTTGTGCTTTTCTGTAAGATGAAGGGCCAGAGGGGGAGCACAGGGTCTGACTGGAGGGAGGTGGGCAGAGGGCTCCAGATGGGGGGGCAGGAATTGTTCCTATGGCTGGGCCCTGCTGGTACCATGGTGTGAGCGCCTTGCTCTATCTTGTGTTGCTTGCAGGCAGAGAAAATGGAACTATTTTGTACAAACACCCATTCAAAGACAAAGCGCAATAGGAATATGGAAGATCTGATTTTAAATAGTGAAATCAGGTCATGGTCCAATGCTCAGAAATCCTTAGCAAGCAGGCAGTGAACAGGACTCGAAGCCAATGCAAGTTAATGGTAGGAAATAGGAACTGAAGCAATATCTGCTGATGGGAAAAGAGAAGTGGCCGCGATGTTTCTTGGAGGGTTTCACCTCCGTGCACTTCCCTTCATGCACAACACTCCTTATATCAAGTGGGAAAGAGAGCAATTGGAGTCAGATGTCTGACTGCTAAGGGCATGGAGGGGACAAGGAAAGGCGTTGTGCAGTGACTGATTGAGGTGGCACCTCACGTGTAAGGTGTCATCTTCCTTCCTGCAGAGAAGTGCACTGGGAAAGCAGCCCGTTTGCTGTGGTCTGTTCTGCTGGCAGACCTGACCCGTTTCCTGCCCAGGGGAGAAAATACAGAAAACCGAAAGATCTGTCCCTTGTTTTGGGTTTTAGGACTACTTTTGGTGCAGTGAATGAGCGTGGAGCTCTATGGAAGCAAGACAGGTCAGTGCAGCAGGCTGGCAGCGGGCACATCTGTGTATGTCAAGGTTGGACCTCCTGGACTGCCTCCGTCTAATGATGCTGCGCTGTGGGTTTGTTTTAGAGCAGCCAGGTTGAGTGCAGGGCAGTGCTTGTATGCCTGCCTTCTTGTATTTACACACAGATCAAGCACACAAGTGCACCCAGCACCACAACAACCCATCTGCAGTGAGCATTCACTGGAATGGCTGCCCAGGGAGGTGGTGGAGTCGCCGGCCCTGGCAGTGTTCAAGAGATGCCTGGATGAGGAGCTATGAGATGTGGTTTAGTAGCTTGTGGTACCAACGGGAATGGGAGGGTGGTTGGACTGGATGATCTTGCAGGTCGTTTCCAACCTTGTGATTCTGTGATTCTGTGATTCTGTGAGCATGCAGGCACCGCCAGGGCTGTACACAGGGGACCCTGGGCTTGGGTTAATTGCTGTGGTAACTGCCAAACCAGAGCCTCCCACCTCTTCCTATGGCAGCACTCTGCAGCACCTCCTCATTTGTACACTCACCCATCCGTGCCCCATCTCACCTTGTGGCAATGAAGTTTAACAAGGATGAAGCCAAACCTCGCCGTTTGAGGAGAAAAAACCTATTTCTACCCCTCAAACCCAGGCTTGGCGCCCACTCCCACCTCATCAAACACAGCAGATCCCCATCCCAAGCCCCTCTGCAGGACGGAGCCTTCGGCCACAGAGCTGCAGCTCACTGCCTGCCATGGCTCATACAGAAACAGCGCAGTGCGAGGGCCGACCTGGCGTTCACCCCCAGCAGCCTGGGAAACTCCGACCACAAACGCGCTCTGAATGCATCCAAAGCCACAAGCTGATGCTTTTTTTTTTTCTTCTTTTTCAGCTCATGAGCTGTGACACTTTTTCTAAAGGCCCTCGTAATGTTACAAAGGAGAACTGAAAATTCCCGAGGTGCGTTTTATGCAGTGTGAAATATGATCGCCTCCAGGTTTATCTCTCGAAAGCCAGCCTTTGCTGCGCTCTGGTTTGATGTTCAGAAGGACAGTGACAAACAAACATGGACAAATCTGCTGTGTGCGCAGGGAGAAAAGGATCCTGCTGAGGAGACCTCTCCAAAGCCCTTTTATTTTTACCCAAACCTCTTTTTTTTTTTAAGTTTTTAACACTTTGAATTTTCAGTACAGCAGCAGATGTTACTCGCCAAATCCCTTCTAAATGTTCTCTGTTCTACAGCAAACTGTATTTTGAAATGACAAATCTGACCTTATAAGGAGCTGGGCAGCTAACTGAGGACCTTGCTGGGGGTGAGCCTGGCCTTTAAAGCCCCAGGTTAAGCGAGGCAACGCCTGCTCCTGTTCCTAGATGTGTCCTGTTCCTGATGCCCCATCCCCCAGCTGGCAGCAGGGAAACTCAGCCGGGGTCCCAAGGCCAAGGTTTGGGCTCCATCCCCATTGCAGACCCCCCCCTGCTCAGCAGGACGGTCACTATGGCTGTTGGCACTGTGAGTGCACTCCAAAACCAACTTCTAATGCACCGACTGCTTCCGTGAAGGCAAAACTCCTGCAGAGAGGTGTTGGGATGAATTAGTCCAGCATGTGTTGGGTGGATGAAGCTCTTGCTGAAGGCTCACGCTTGGCACATTTTGGGAGCTGAAATCCGGAGGCTGAAATCCAGCTCAGGTTGCCCAAGGCCCCGTCCAACCTGGCCTGCCTTGGCTGCGATGATCCGGGCTCAGTAGGAAACCCACAGCCACCAGCATCCCCAGCACCCTCACACGTCTCATCTAGGCGTGGAGCATTCCAGCAGTCTGCAGTCACCAGCCACCTCCAGGACCACCGTCCCCGTGGGTCCTTGGTCACTGTGGATGTGGAGCTGTCACAGGACCCCGTAATCAACCGCTGCACCCCTGGGATGAGGGGTGTCCTGGTGGGACCTCTCCCTGTGCACCTCCTGGGGATGATCACATGCTGTAAGGGAAGGGACAGTGTTGACACATTGAGTGTTTTTGTTTTTCTAGTTCAACTTTAAAAAGGAAAAAGAGAGAGGAAGGTAATAATCATATAAGGCTAAAAGGTGACAGCAGTGGGGCTGCAGGCAGAGCCCCTGCAAGGCAAAGCACAGCCCTAGAGTGATGCAAAACACCCCAAAGCACATCAGCAAGCAGAAACCACGAGATAGAACCATACTGGCAAAATGAAGGCATAGGTTATCATAGAATCATTAAGGTTGGAAAAGAGCACTGTTATCATAGAATCATAGAATGGCTTGAGTTAGAAGGGACTTCAAGGATCATCCAGATTCAACCCCCTGCTTGCAATCATTGAGTCTGACCATCAGCTTCTCATGGAGTGAGTGTCTGGATGGTGATGCTAATAAAGTGCTTTTGGGGAGTGGCACAGAAAGCCTCAAGTGGCTGAAATGGGCGCTGGAATTGGACTTGGTTGGAGATTTCTCCCCACCCATGTGCTTTGATTCATGTACTCCAAAAGAAGATGAAAGTGGAATTTCCCACAGCAAATGCAGGTTTTGCTCAAAATACCCCACGTAAATAGAAAACCAAACCAAAAGCACTTGTTGAGCCCATTGAAAAAATAAAATCCAAGAGGCTGCTGCTGGATTGAGGTGAAACGCCAAACCTCTGTGGCTGTGTTTGCCCCTGAGCTGCGTGGAGCTGGCATGGAGCTGGGGCAGCTCCTGACCCACCTCCTGCCCTCGGCACCCGCCTGGCCTGCCCTGCCCAGAGGGCAATCTGTTGGACCTCCACTTATGTAACACAGCTAATATGAACCAGCTGAGTCACGGAAATTATGTCAAAATTTCCTGCGGATGTTTCGTTAGCCATCTGTTTTTGTTTTTTCTCTCCTGGTTCATGCAGGTATCCCCGAGCCTCTCTGAAAGCAGTTGGTAAGCATGGGCTGCCCACCAGCCCCGCACTCTGCTGTGCTTTGGGAAGAGCCCAGCACAGCTCCAGCTCTCAGCCACGCTGCTGTGCTCTGCTGTTTTCATCCTGGGGCCGTTGCCCATCGCTTCCTCCAAACCAATTCTTCTCAGGCTAAGCTCAACATTTTTGCTCTTCTTGGGTCAGCCAAAGGCACTGCTGCTCCTGGCCCAGCTCAGCTAAGCTGTGGGGCACGGAGGGGTGGGAAGGGCTGCATCGTTCCCCGCCATCCCAAACCCAGTACAGCCCCACTCCCCTCGCAGCTAAAGGAGAGAAAGTCTGGCTGCATCCCCACCAACCCAAGCAGAATGCTTGCAGGATCCTTCCTGATGCTGGAGCACGTTGCCCCTTTTCATAGAATCAGAGAATCACAGAACGGCCTGGGTTGAAAAGGACCATAATGATCACCTGGCTTTCACCCCTCTGCTATGTTCAGGGTTGCCAACCATGAGATTTTCCTCCATTTTCAAACCAGAATTCAATCAGTGCTGCTGAGGCTGTGCTCACCCTATGGGCTCTGAGCTGCTTCCCTGCTTGGCAGAGAGGAGTGTGGCACAGGGGGTGACGGGAGCACCCAGCATCACCCTGCAGAGCTCAGGTGGTGTAAATTCAGGCCCCACACCCTCAGCACACGAGGTCTGTTGGTAGAGGGCAGCCAAGCACGGGTATTGCAGTTTGCAAACACCGACAAACAACAGGTGATTTACCTCTTTCGTTCTTCCTCCTGCGTGAATGAAGCTTTAAGAGCATTTGGCCCCACCTTGCAAAGCTCAGGATAAAGGGCTGTTATGGGTTTTTCTTCCCTTTTACAGTTACAGCTTTGATTCTTTGACATTTGCCTTGTTGTTTTTTTTTTTTTTTGCCATGCAAATGTGACTGCAAAGCGCTTCCTGTTGCTGTGTCAGGTGTGTGCAATGAGCTCGCATTGCAACACGGCCCTGACAGCAGTATGGGGCAGCATCACTGACACTGCAGGCAGTGAGCAAAGAATGCAGCCTGCACAGCAGAGCTCTTATGGATAATACTTTGCCAGAGGGGCCTGACCCACATCTGGGCCTCCTGCGCCTCCAGCTGAGCAGCTCCTCCTGCCTTCGTTGTGGATCAGCAGTGGGACAGTGGTTGGTGGGCACAGAGATCCCTGCCATGGTGCTGGGTGTGAGGAGCTGAGAGTGGTTCTGTGACAGACACAGCCAGCAGCACAGCCCCAGAGCCAACAGGCTTACAAGATTCACTGTGACAATTAAAGCAAACACCAACATAAACCCCCCACCAACATGCTGTGATGCTGCAGAACAGCATGAACTCAGCCAGGCAGCCCGGCTTACCTATGGATCTGCATAATGCAGAGGTGCTGCAGCAGCTCTCTGTACAATAACAGTGTTATTGCTTTGCCAGGTTGCTCATGACAAAGCAGATGGGCACGCGCTTGCACCTTCAGCTTCAATCATTCACCTTTACCCAAGCCAGCCCCAGGCAGCCCCTCAGCCTGGCTCCTCCCAGCACTGCATGCCCTGGTTTACGGGAAGCAATCAGCCCTCCATTGCAAGGTCCGTGCAGGGCTGGCACCTTGCTGCAGGAGCTGTGAGCATGGCTGCTGCAGCACAGCCTGCTCTGCGGAACAGCCGTGCCAAGAAGGAAGCAGACACACTCCCAAATACCTCTCCAGAGCAAAGCTGCCAGCACTACAAGCCCTGGCAAACAGAAAGAACTACTGAGAGCTGCAGCCCCTCCTGCCCAGGGCAGCATTGTGTTGGGCTGAGTCCTGCAGCACCGAGCAGTCATGGCCCCTGCAGCTCAGTGCACACAGCAGGAATAGGGCTCTAAAGCCAAAAGAGTTCCCCTACTCCAGCTGTCTGCAGCTTAGTGCTCTCTTGCAGCTCCCCAAAAGGCGGCTGTGGCAGTGGGGGTTGGACTCTTCTCTCAGCAAACAGAGATGGGAGGGGAGGGGATGGTCTCACATTATGCCAAGGGGGGGTTAAGGGGGTGTGAGGAACAATTTGTTCTCCATCAGCATGGGCACAGGCTGTCCCGGGAGCGGGGGAATCACCATCTCTGGGGGTGTTCAGGGCTGTGGGGATGTGGCACTGGGCATGGTGAGGTGGGGTGGGCCTGGAGGTCTGAGAGGTCATTTCCAACTTTAATGATTCTTTGAAATGAAACAACAGGTATCCACCCACGATATCTTTTTTTTCCCCATGTTTCCATGCAAAAAAAAAAGAGGAGGTTTGCTGAATGCAACACAGCAAACCACCCCCCCTCCCCCTTCCCCCCAGGCTGCTTTGTGTGCATAGAGATGTGTGTACATTTGATTCCAAACAGAGTGCAGGCAAGATAAATTACTGGGGAAGGACGTACTTCAACAAATGGATACTGTATATTTTTTTAAAACTGTCTGGGTCAGATTTATGCCTGTCAGCCAGAGGACAGTGCTCTCTGAAGCCAAACAAAAGCAGAGCCAGCGGTGTGCTCCTGGCAGCCAAGGTCACAGTGCTGGGACAGTGAGCTGGTGGGGCGCATCGCAGCAGGGAGATGTGCTGCAGAACGTGGGCAGTTCCCCTCCGTGCAAGGAAATCACCACCAAGAGGCACCCATAGAGTTGTTGGTGGCAGAACAACCTGCTACAGCTCCTACATTTGCACTGCCTCCTGTGCACTGGTCACGCACACACACAGCAATTGGTAGCCAGCAGCTTTTCTCCTGCACTCCCACCATTGGCACAGCATGGGGACAGCAGGGTTTTGGGACGTCCCCTCTGATCCTGTGCTCCAGCTGCGCTTCGCTGCACAGAGGAGAAGCAGGAAAAAAGCTGCAGGGCATCCCACACTGCTCTTCTTCCCACACAGCTGGGGGGGATCACACAGTTTCGAAGCAACACTGCAAGGAAATGTCCCATCAGCTCTCTGGGAATGGGCTGAGTTCAGTTTTCAGACCCACCTGCAGCCCTCACAGGGCAGCTCCATGGTCTGGTGCTGCGATAGGAAGGTGTCACACTCATGTGCTGCACATCAGCACCACACAGGACGGGCTGCTTCTGTCTGCACTGTGTACGTGATGCAAATCAAAGCCCTTCAAGAGGCTGACAAGGCTCTAGGTGCACAGGGACCTCCCACAGCCACTCATTATCACAGCCTCATCACACATTGTGCATCATTAACCGCAATGCTCCTACAGAGGAAGACGCTGCGACTGCAGCACGTGAAGCATCAGCTACTTTGTACAGCATTGTTTATTTCAGAAGAGAAGCCATGCAGACTGGGACGGCCACTGCCATGTTTACCGACCTCCTCAAGAGGCCTGTGACTCACGCCTCCCTTTCTTGTTTCTCATGGGTCTGAGCTCCAAGGGTTGGATGGATAAGGCAATCCTTCTCCCTATCTAATCTCTTCCCTACTGCATTATCTCAACACAATGGTTTGCTTCTTTCCCCACAGCTCAGGCACACCGGTGGGGAGAAGCAGTGGGCCAGCTGCACAGCACCAACAAGGCTGCACAACACCAATAGGGTTAAAACCAAGGCTGTCTGCACCAGGGAAGGATCACACAGGAGAACTTCGATTCATGGAAATAATGGACATGAAACCAAAGCGTCCACCTGCGTTTCTATACATAGTTTGCAGTAATGGAATTACGGAACTGTGGACTTGTCCCTATGGAAGGGATATCCAGAGATCCCCCAGTCCACCCCCCTTCAGCAGGTCCCCTACAGCACCTGCACCCCTCTTGGGCTCTGCTCCAGGCCTCTGCCACCTCACAGCATGGAAGTTCTTCTTTACGTTCAGATGGAGCTCTCTGAGTTCAAGTTTGTTCCCACTGCCCCTTGTCCTGTTGCTGGTATCACCAAACACAGCCCTGCCCTCCTAATGCCCTTCAGATACTGATCAGAACTGAGCAGATCCCCTCTTGGTTCTCCCTCCCCAGGGCTCTCAGTCTGTCCCCATCAGGAGGTGCTCCAGGCCCCCATCTCTGCACCCTCCTCTGGGCCCTCTCCAGCAGCTCCCCATCTGCCTGCAGCTGAGAATCTCACACTGT